TACAGCCTCCAGAAAGAAACACAGCATTAAAACACCTTAATTTTAGTCTGGTGAGACTCACACCAGATTTCTGACCTAAAAAAATGGTAAAAGAATAAATTTGTGTCATTTAGGCCACTGCTTTGGTGGTTATTTGAAACGGCAGAAAGAAAAAACTAAAATAGGTCAGTGGGATAATACACTTATAGCAGTGAACAGGCATGTAGTAAGTTTATTCAGTATTAGGCCTTGAAGCTGTGTTTGCATTGAACCTAACATCAGATTGTCCAGATTCTAGTGATTGAGATTATCAGGGAATTGAGCTAAAGCCCTCTCAAGGCATCTCCTGGTCCCTGCATTGCTAATGAGGGTTACTATCAGCAAATAGGATGGAATTCCCTGTCCTTGGAAATAGCTGAAGGGGAAAAAGTATTTAAGGAGAAACAACCAAGCAAATGGAACCCATCTTAACTATGGATGCCTGAGCCACTGAGTTTTAGATGTCTAGTTACATTTTATCCAGACACCATTTCAAAATCTCTTGTAATCCCATTCACCATATACCATATTGTGTGTGTGCTTGTGTGTATATGCACATTTTACATATAATATGCTTTTAAATTTTATTTATAATTATTTTATTAATGCTTATTTAATAATGCTTATTTATAAATAATCATATATGTATATATGATTTATACCTAATAAATGTATAATGTATATTATATATGCTTCTTTTGGAAGATATATATACATATATATATATACACCATAGGATCATATCTTTTGGGTAAGCTTTGAAATCCTTTCTTTCAGAGAAGGATGTTGTTGGGAGGAAAGTTCTACGTAAGTGTCACTGGCAATTAATTCTGAATTAGTGGAGAGAGAAGGCGCAAACCTCCAGGTTCCCAATTGTCACCCTTAGAGATTCCAGTTCAGTAGCAGGTCTGTGGCGAGAGTCCCAAGAAGCTATACATGTAATAAGCTCTCTAAGTAGGGTCTGGCTTTAGAACCATTAGATGATAACTTCAAAGGCTCTCAGGATGGTTCTGTGATAGTCTTTTGTTGATGACACTGTGAAATATCTGATCTTCTGCTTGACTGGGGAATAAAGGATACTGGTTAATTAGCTATTTTTATGCTGAATAGGAGGATTTATAATTATCCCCCAATTTAGAGAAAAACTGAAGATCCTGTAGGGGAAGTGGCTTGCATCACACACCCACTAAATATCAGAATGAGAACTGGAATCCATTCAACAAAGTTCCTACTATATTTCACATCATTTATTTAAAAATTTTTAAATTATGTAATTATATATGAAATAGTTTTCTTATAAAATGTTTAATAATGTAAATAAAAGAAAGAATATTTCTTTATCCCTCTTTTCCAATGTCACATTCTTCCTTAAACATCCTCCTCCTACTATTTGTTTTTTGAGAAAAATGTTCTATGAATTACATACAACATACTCGGATTTAAGCCTTTTTAAAAAATTACACAATTTCCTTTGTCACTTAACAATAAGTCAGTACACAATCACATTATTCTTTTAAACTACTGTATAGCATGTTGTATGTATCTGATGTATGTATAATGATGTGTTTGAATCTATTGGCCAATTCCCATTGAATGACATTAGGTTCTTTCTACACTTTTTGCCATCATACACAAAATGCTGCATCAAAAATCCTTATATGTGACTTTGTAGCATGATACGATTTTTCTAAGATGGCTAGACATGTGATTATGAGTTGAAGGGGAAGAATGCTCTGCTCCTTTCTACATCACTTTTTCATTTGCTTTTGTAGCTACAGGGAGTTGGGGGGAAATAGTATCCCTTTAGTCACAACTCTAGGTTCAACTAGGTGCAAATAATGAAAAGCATTACCTAACTGTTGATGTGAATCGTGACAAAGGCTGATTGATGCCTCTTGTATGAGTTTGGAGCTATTTTTGAACCATAATAATGTCCAGGAGTTCCTCATCTCTTATTTTACTTCTCTCAATGATATACATGACCGTTTTTATCTTAGCAGTTTCCTTTGGTCAGCAAAAATTCTAGTTTTCAATCCTGATTTTGAATCTGAAATGTCTGTCTCTGTGTGTGTGTGTGTGTGTGTGTGTGTGTGTGTGTGTGTGTGTGTAAAAGGATTTTTGGTTTCTCCCCTGGAAGAAGCTTCAGCAGTGTAAGGGAAATAATGAATGGCTCTCACATTCCAGTATGAATGCCACTGCCAGGAACACAAAGCACACAGTGAGTATCAAGGGACAAGAACCAGCTTGTGAAGCCTGTCAGAAGTCCAAGCTGCAGACTGATGAGATGATGGGTAACTGAACCTGCCTGATGTTTTCTGGCCCTGTGTTTCATTTCCCACAGGTCACCAGGACCTTAGTTTTCGCTATCCTCACTGCTGTGCTTAGTTCCTTCAAGTTTGGATATGACATTGGTGTGATCAATGCCCCTCAACAGGCAAGTGAAACATGCACAATTCAAATCCCTTTTTGTCAATTCCTGTCAAAGAAAGAAAGATATCTGTTCCTCATACGGAGAAATAAGGTGTGCTCATGTGGGGAACACAGAGTAATCCCAGCCTTCAGTCAGGTACCATATACGTAGTTAAAGAGCTGATAACTTGGCTTTGCCTCCTCACTTAATAATCCTCATAGAAAAAAAAAGGGGCAATAAATAATTCTCGATCTTTGACTCTCCTGTTTGCTGAGCTCACGGAAATCTTTAGTCAGAATATCACGTGCCTAAGGATTTTTTTTTTTAAGTTTAAGAGCAATAATGCAGCATTCATTCAGAACTCTCAGCCATATATGAATGAAAATTCCAGGGAATGAGAAGAAACTATAGAAGGATATGTTTTATTTCGTGTAGAAACATTTATTGAGCACTGTGCATCAGGCACTTTAACATATGCCCTCACAAGTCTGCCCCTCCCAACAATCTTATTATGTCCATTTCTAGGCTAGATTAAAACCTTTAGGAGCACTAAGACTAAAAAGATTCTACTCCTTCCCTGCATTCATGTCTCCCATAGGTGATTCAATGTAAAATAATACAAAACTTTAAAATAATAGTCAAGAAGTCCAACAAAATTTGGATTTTCTTCATGATGACTATTTGGATGGGTATTTTTTAAATGATAGAATAATTGCTATCAATTTTCTCATTCATTTTCTGCATCACTACTCTGGTATCAAATGAAGAGGAGAGAGATATGATTTTTCTTAGCTCCCACAGCCTGTAACTAGTGAAACCAAGGACTTCACTTCCTCTGCCCTAATTCAGACTGTCAGGTCACTTAGAACAACCTTGATGTCTTGTTCCTCTTCCTACCACCAGTGCCAAGCACAATGATTGGTATGAAAAAAGTATTCAATAAAGTGTTAAGTGAATGAAAGGAGAAGAGAGAGATGAGGAGAGAGAGAGATAGGAAGAGAGAGAGAGAGAGAACAAGCTGGGGGAAGGATAGCATAAGGTGAAAGTACAAACATTTGTTGGGTGCCCTCTATGAAGCAATAATGTTTTATCTGCTTCTCTTACAACTCCAAGGAAAATGTAAGATATTGCAGGATATGAATGTATGAAATGAGTGCTGGCCAGTCAGTCCATCATCTGAAAAGAGTTTCTCCTTCGGTCAAAAGATGTGCTCTGGTTAGGTGCCACATATCATCATAAGTGTGGCAGGATCTGCTGCGGTTGAAAGATTTAGGGAATAACACTGAGGTCAGATCTTTTTCCTGTGGGTGATAACATGTGCCAATTTAGCAAGTTTCCTGAATTTTGGCTCAATATCACCATAATTGGTATTGTCTCTTCTCTTTTTGTGGAAAAACCTTTCGAAATTCTTATTTAAACCATCCTATCGAGTCTTAGAGGAAATCTAAGGTTTCCCTTCTTTCAATCACAATCCTAGACCCAGACCTTAATCAGAGACACCACACCCCCGCAACACATACACACATACACTCTGGCATCCAGCTTAGCGCCCTTTCTATAGCCTCTTCCTTCTGTGTTTAAAGAGCTGCTTAAACACTACTATGTGAGAAGTATATTCAGGCCCATCTGTTTTTATTAGTGGCATGGCATTTGGAATTGTTTTAGGATATTTTTAAATCACACTTTTTTATGCTTATGAAAACTACACATGCCTGTTGCAGAGAGTAATAGAAAAAAATCACCTGTAATTATTCTATCACATAGAGCAAACTGCTGAGAACATTTTGGATTTTTCTTTACAGCCATTTCTCTATGCAATATTATTCATACAGAGTGAACTCCTAATGAGGCAAATGTCTTGGGTCAGACTTCTTTTATCATAAGAGGATGTCAATTATTTTTCTCACTCAGCTGGCTGCTACATAGGACTTTGACCATGACTGGCAGCTGCCTTCCAGGTCCTTGTCAGAGGTCCTCCCAGCTCACTGAAAAATAGTGACTAAATCATCATTGAGACTATACATAGAAGGAAGATAGCCTGAAGGATGTGTCTTTCTTTACTCAACTATACTCTCATATGATGTTTGCCTCTACAGAAACACTCTAAAACACTATAAAATATGGCTCTATAAAATTTAGTTTTGAATATTGTTCATTCTATTACACACTGAACTCTGTGAGGACCCATAGGAGAAACTTCCTTCAGATCTCAATACTTTCTTAGGGCCACTAAATTTTTTTATCTTTGGAATTCATCAATATACATGATTGTTTTCCTCTCTTTGCACCGGCTGTCAGGAAGTTTATTGCTAAATTTATAGCTCATTTCCAGCAAGGATACAGCATCTAGTGTTTGAATTTTGTATACAAACTTTATTTTCAGCCTCATCTTATCTTTTCCAATTTTTTTCTTATATCCACTTTTATATTTCCATTAAAATATTTACATAAGTCAATTTAAATTCTGCTGTGCAGGAGTAACACTGGTGTGTATATGTATCTTTTTAGCCTGCAGAATATGTTCAATTTAAATAATTGACAACATTTAAAACTTGAAAAATTGTACATAAAAACTCAGAAATCTGACTTCTCTTTAAAAATTAAAGGTCATCAACACTAGTCTCACATTTGCAGTTTCCTCCTTCAGATGGTGCAAATGTTCTTGAGTGCCATAATCCTGCCTACTCACTATTACATCATCAGTAGTAAAGTAGTTCGGTCCTCTCATCATCAAGGTTCCTCTTACTTCTTCACTTATTTGTTCCTGCCTGGTTCCTGTTGGCACTGGAATTTGTGACCTCTGTTTTATAAGACATGGTCAACTGTAAATAAATCTATATATGTTTGTACATGTATAACACACATAATTGGGATCATCCTGTTTAAAAACCTAACATTTTAAAGGAAAAAGCAAATAAAAACTTATGGAATGTTTGAAATACTGGAGCTATTTTTCTTTATTTTATTTCCTTAGGTAATAATATCCCATTATAGACATGTTTTGGGTGTTCCACTGGATGACCAAAACGCTATCGACAACTATGCTAGTACACAAGAACTGCCCACAGCCCCATACCTAAGGAATCCAACACTAATCCCTGAGGCTGAGGAAGAGACTACGGCATCTGCTGGCCTCGTCACCATGTTCTGGTCCCTGTCTGTGTCCAGCTTTGCAATTGGTGGAATGATCGCATCATTCTTTGGTGGGTGGCTTGGGGACCAGCTTGGAAGGTAGGCAAATTTCATAAATAAACACAAACAGAAACTTTAGTATTTAGGGTTTGTTAGAATTTGTTTAGAAAGAAATCATCTTTCTTTTTGTGGAGTAGTTTTACAGTTGATTTTTCAACTCATGACCTATGAGTTAGGTCATTGTTGAACCAAATAATGGAAAAAGCTTTTGGATCAATATGCTTAATTGTGGAGGCTTTTACAGAAAAAGTGAGTTTGGTGTAATTTATAGATAATTGCTTTGAGTCTCTGGCTTTGTAAGTTATAAAACATATTAAGAAACCACTGCAGAAATAATTAAGACAAGTGCTGAATGGAAAGGCCAAGAGTGAAATTTTTAACCTGGGAGTCTATTGTTTGTTTCACCAAATCGCTCCATTTCTCAGACATACACTTTTCTATCTTCAAATTAAAATTTGGCATTTGGATCAGTCAAGTCCTAAGGTTAAGTCAATATTCCCAATTCCCAATTCCCAATTGCTCAGTGTATCTGGCATGGGGTTTCTAGTCGCTGCTACTGCTGTCTCGAAGCACCAGCCAGAGATGAAGCCAGTGGTATCTTCATTTCTCTACTCTGGTTCCTGTTAGGTGTTCTAGATTAAAAATATCAGTGGAATTCCTTTACACTCAAATTTCAGTCATGTGACATACTAAAGCCCTTAGGATCCCCCCACTCTCCATAGAGAGAGAAAGGAAATTAAATTAGAAAAGTAAAGTAATTATTTCTTTATATTTACTTTCTGTTCTTTGGGTCCATCTTTTATTAGTTACCCTTTTTCTGATTATGAAAATAAAAATGCAAATATGGAACATTTAGAAAATGCAAAAAAAATTAAAAAGTAAATGATACAGCTAAGCTATAACTGTCTTAGTAATTTTGGATTACAATTTATTGAAATTTTTAAATTCCTACTTTATAATTTAATCTCTCTGATTATTAAAATTCTGATAACTTTTTTCTCTTGTGCTGGAGTTTTTATATAATACAACTGTAAGAAGTTTTCTTAAGTAATAGGTAGTGTGGTAACCAAGTTTTATTCTTGTCCTTATTTGAAAGGGATTTTCCTCTACCATAAAGAAAATGGTCAGTGCCTCATATTTTTATCAACTTGCTGGTGTTTAGTTGAACTTTAATTAGAATCCACACATTGCAGAGTTAATAAATTAACTTTAATCGTAAAAAAAATTAAAAATCATTTTAATTTGCACCAAATTAGTTTAAAAAATTGAAAAGGTTTCTAGATTATTTTTTCTAAAATAAATAAAATTAAGCAAAATTAAAATTTAAAATATAGACAAAGCAATTTTTTAACAGCTACTAATGTTTTATACTTATTCCCAACCCTGAAGAAACAATTTAAGCTCTTGATGTCCCTCATTTAGGCACAAAATTCTGAGAGGTCCAGACTTACCTTAAAACATGTAATTAGTGTCCTAGTTATGGAAGTAGGATGCATGTTCTCCCAAGTCTTAGGATTTAGCATTGGCCATGGTACTCCAAAACAATGTCGAATGACCATTTATGGTCATTACCAAATGACTGATGGTAATTAAAAGTGAGTCTTTTTCCAACTCTCAGTGGAAAAATGATCCTCCTTGAAAATCAGCCATAAAAATTAATAATTTTAACTTCCAAAGTAGGATAAAAGAGTATAGTGTTTCCCATAAAACTATTTTTCTAGGCAGATTCACTGAAAAATGACAAGATTTTTTTAATTGTCAGGGTCATTACAAGTTAAAAGTAAATAAATAAAAATGTAATTTTCCATTACTGCTTTAAAAAAGTCCTTCCTTCCTTTTTTTAAAATTTATTTTTATTATGGTGACATTGGTTAATGAAATCCAGTAAGTTTCAGGTGTACAATTCATCAGTAAGGCATATATATATCTATATACATATATATACACACATACATAGATGCAAAAATACATACATACTGACTCTAGTCTTCCTAGATTATCCAACAGCCTATCTATACAACTCACAGTATACATAAATGAACATAATATAATCACAACTTAAAGGGACAGATAAGGTGTTCACCACCCATAGTTAGATTTTTTTCTGTCACCACATATTTGACCCCTTTTATCCCATCTACCTCCCTCCTCCCCTCTCTTCCCCTACCCTCTGGTAACCACTAGTCTATTGTCCATGTCCATGAGTTGTATAATAGTTAATAGATGTCTGTGGCTACTATTTTTAGACTTGAGTTTTCTAGAGGCTATGTGTGCACTTTCGATTTTATGAGTATGATGGAGGAAACCATGGTGTGTGCAACCCACACAGCCACAGTCAAGGGAGGCATGCAAAACTTGCTGTGGAATGCTTTCTTCCTTTGTATCAAAAATGGAACTCACTACAATGAAGCATTAACCTTTGGTTTCACACAGATCAAGTCCCCAGTTCTGCTACTTAGTAGCTGCGTGAAAATGAGAACATTACTTAGGTTCTCTAAAATGTTTTCCTCCCATCTGCAATGTGGAAAAAAAATAATACCTACCTCCGTGGTATCATTGTGCAGATTAAATGAGAGGAAATATAAAGAGTTTAGAACAATGTCTGGTGAAGAGTAAGGCAGCAAGTGCAGCCTTTAATGATGACAACAATGATGAAGCCTATGCTAACGAGAGTATTTAAAACAAGATTTAGAGAAATGTACTTAGAAATATATTTCCTTCTCCTTGATTCTACAATTTCAAATATTTTTAGATTGTTTATTCTTGGGCATTTCTCACATTTGAGCAGAAGTTACAAACCCTTTAGGTTGTATAAAGTGCTCCAGCATCCCTCGGCGGTAAGAAAGAAAAACTTTAGAGCAATCTGGCATCAAAAATACTTTCAGGCTATCTCTTTTAAGATTTTTTAAATCTCCCCCACATCCCACCAATAGAATATACTATTAACTAGCCTAGTAACAGTTTCTTAAGGTAAATTTTTGGATTTGCCTGTCCTCTGTCCTTGTGTAAAGAAAAAGCACTTCACCGAGAAACATCCCTTTCTTTTTCTACTCTACAGCTCTGAAGCTGGCCAACTCTAAATCATGCTGTTTCCCCTGCCTTTGTGTAGTTAAAACTTTCCATATATTAGTTTCCTATTACTGCTCTAATGAATTACCACAACTTAATGCCTTAAAACAACACAAATTTATTTTCTTATTAGTTTTGGAGGTTAGGAGCCCAAATTCAATTTCACTTGGCTGAAGTCAAGATGTCAACAGGGTCGGTCCCTCTTGGAGATTCCAAGGGATGAATCCTTTTCCTTGCCCTCTCCCACTTCCAGGGGCCATCTACATTCCTTGGCTCTTCCTCCACATCTTCAAAGCACATCATTCCAATCTCTACTTCTCTCATCACACCGCCTTCCCTTCTGCCCTCTTATTGCGAGGATACTTGTGATTATAGCATTGGGTCCACCCAGATAATCCAAGATAATCTCTTCAACTCAAAATCTTTAATTACATCTGAAAAATCCCTTTTGCCATACAAGGTAATGTATTCTCAGGGTCTGAGGATTAAGATGTAGAGTCTTGGGGGTTTTATTGAGCTCATCACATGGTTGTTGGGCAATCATTGCAGTTTGAGATTAGATAGTTTTACTCTCAGAAAAAAAATTTGTTTGGTGTTAAATATATTTGTGTAAAAAAAGTTCAGCTATTAAAGTTTGAAACATTGAAATAGAACATAACAAGATTACATTTTTTTGTGGCACAAACATTTCCATACCTGTCCACTCAGATTCTTTCATTGGCTTTATCATCTCCTGAACTTTGAAGGTTTCTGTGTACCTCACTTTCCCATTTAATAGGAGTAAATATCTGAAAATGTTGTCAAATTTCACTTGATTAATTCTGAAAATGTTTTTTGTTGCTATTGTCAGCTTTTTGTGTATTTTACATTGGTTAACATTAATTCATAGATTCTGAAAATATGCTGACATACAATTTTAAAATAAGAGTAAGTATAATTCTCTATGATAAAACCTAAAGTAAATTTTAACTTACTTCGAAATAATCCATAAAAAATAAAAATTTAATTTAAATAGCTCCTTTCATGATCTACAACAACTAAAAACCTGTACCGTTAAAAGGAAAAAAAAAAAAGCAAGGTGTCATAGGTTACAACTACAGATTTAAAGTTAGCTATTGCCAGACATTTATTCTTTAAAATAATCAACTAGTAGGAAACTCAGTTAACCGTTTGAAAAGTGTCAGAAGTTTTATCTTAAATCAAACTAGTCATCACCACAATTGAATCTCTCTATCAAAATGTGGAGATCAGGTGCATGAAACCCACATTCTCTCATTATAAATACTACTTATTTTTAATACTTCAGTACATTGATAAATCAAAGTAGTAATCATGGTTTAAGATTCCTAAACTAGCCTTTTTAGCAAAATTAAAATAATCTCTTAGGTAAAAATCTCAGCATACTCTGAAAGCAAATAATTTTATCAAGTTTTGATGTTGAATTTTAATCCTTGCTTTTTAAAATTTCAGAATCAAAGCCCTGTCGGTAGCAAACATTCTCTCATTAACTGGAGCTCTCTTGATGGGGTGTTCAAAATTGGGACCATCTCACATTCTTATAATTGCAGGAAGAAGCATATCAGGACTCTATTGTGGTAAGTCTCACACCCATTCACACACACACACACACACACACACATCCGAAAATTATTTTAACAGCAAATGTGGTAACATGAAGGAAACATTTTGAGCCTGAGGTGGCATCGCAAAAGGGATAGACAGTAACATAAAGTTGAAGCAGTGAATCAGGGAGTTTGGGACCAGTATGAGGGAATTGTGAAGCTAGCTTCTTATCCACGGCATTGACATCATTTCTAGTCATATGATCTCAGACAGATTATTAATGCTCAGTATCCTTATCCATTAAATGAAGAGAATAATATCTACCTCAAAGGGTGTTTGTGAGAATACATGTACAATGTTCAGCACACAATCTAACTACATACAGTAGACTGCCAAGAAATACTAGCTATTATTACTCCTGACATGCAGTAGACAGTGAAAACTGCTACACCCAGAATCTCTGACTCGTCCTGTTTTGGCTTATCTGGCTGCTTATGTCTCTGTCTTATCTGGAAAGACGTTGATGCCTGGTCCATCTCTCAGACTGCACTGCCTAGCCCTGTCGGATTCCAGACCTGGCCAGGTGAAGCCTTGAAGTGGCAGTCACCATAGGGAGAGAGAATCGGGAAGAAGCAACAGGTAGTGGAGTTCTGAATTAAAGAAGAACACTCCTCACATGAACTTTACATCTGAATTGCCAGAACCATTAGTTTTTGGTAATGGCCTTTCAAACCATTCAGCAGACACCTGAACAAAAAGAGGATCACTCAATCTCCAAAACAGCCAAATCTTTAGCTTCTCAATATTGACAATGCCCTAATAGTTCTGGGCTGAGATTTTAACCCATTGTCCCAAATTGTAAAAAATTCAAACCACTAATCTCCATTGGGAGAGGTAGAGAAGAAGCAAGGGCACAAAATGGTATATAAAATATTTATAACACACCTGCAAACAGGAAAGAACATAATCCTATGCATTTTCAATCATCACTTAAAAGTCTAAAATTAATTAAATTCCACTTTTCGTTGTTTTCAATGTTAATACACATAACTGAAAGTCAGAATAGCTTTATCAAAGTGAAAACTCAGCCCACATGTGGAAAGAGCTTTGGATTCATAGTGAATCAATTCTGGCACTGTCTCTGTCTTATCTTAGATATGTTTCTTCTTCTGGAAACTGCACATAATGACACTATAAAAGAGGTTCAAATCATGATTCTTCTTTCTTTTCTCCCCATTTTTTAAAACATGGTTAAAAAAGATACAAAACATGGTTAAAAAAGATACAAATTGAAAAGAAATGCTATCAACATATTGTGAAGCAACCTACCACTAACATAGTAAAGTACACTTGTACTCGCCAATCGGCTTTTAAAATTACGTAGTCCAATTCTGAGTATCAGAGTTGCTAAAAATTATAGGAAATGCAATTTGACTTCAAGTTCATGTGACTTCAGACCTGTGAGCTTATCTACACTATTCTGTTCTTGAGGTATACTAGCATATATTACACAAAGATAGTACAGCCTAGACTAGGAACTAATAAATGAGGTGTTTTTTTTTTCTTATTTGAGATCAATAGATCTAACATTAGAGTCAGCAGAAATTCAGATGCTATATCTACCACACAAATAGTCATGTGAAATATTAAGAACAATTTAAAGCTTTAAAAACATATATTGAAAGTTTCCAAAAATATATTTTACACAAAGACCATCCATTTTCATTTGCCAGGCAGGCCGGCAGTCTAAAAGGAAGCCTCTGACAAATCTTATTTTTTAATTCTTAAGAAAAATGCCAAACACCGCATTCAGCCTTGACTTATTGGTAGTCTCTGACCTTTTTAATGCACTCAGCAAACGGCTGGACACTCTACCATTCCAACATGACTGAGTACATCTACATTTAAGAAAATTATAAAAGGCAGAATTGGCCCAGTGCTTTTCAATTTTTGTATTCCTTTAAGCACCCAGAGCCTTTATTTAAATAAAATCTTTTCTGAAGCCTATTATGTGGGGAGAATAAAGAAGAAGCTGGGTTGCTCTGTTTGGAGTAATTGGGGAAAGAGCCCCTGAGCAACTTAACTCCTTACACCTAACTCAGTAACCACCCCTCACCACCATCACCATCTTCTAACAGTGATCTTGAGTCACCTCTACATTGTGGAAACTCATATAGGGCTTGTAGTTCTTGTGCTAACACTCTGTTGCACTGTGATCTTCGGTAAGCTATTTCTCACCTTGATCAAGTAAAGATGTGACCAAGACATGTTCTAATTTCCTTTAATCCCATGAATCTAGATTAAGAATATTATCATTTTTTAAGAATATTATTCATGCATACTTCAGTCTCTTTTTTAAAGACATTCAAAGGCATTATGTGGTAAATTCAATACTAACATGGATTTTTTTTTTAACTAAATAAGACAATACTATGAATGATTGTCAAATGCTTGACTAACCATTTCTTTCTATTTGTATATCTAGCTACAACTTTATCTGGAATCTAATCAACAAATATTTTTTGAATGAACTGTTTATGATTGGGAACAAGGGTTCTTTCTTTCAACAGACTCAGGAGGAGACTCTCAATCAGAATATTGACTGTACTTAAACCAAATTAACATTATTGAATTGAGATAGTCCTAGATTCTCTTTAACATTTATGTTTATGTTTTATGCAGGGATAATTTCAGGATTGATTCCAATATACATTGGTGAAATTGCTCCAACCGCACTCAGGGGTGCTATTGGCACTCTTCACCAGCTGGCCATTGTCACAGGCATTCTTGTTAGTCAGGTAAAAACTCTTATCCCTTACTTCACCCATCTTCTACTTTATCCAACTTCTCCCTCCCTGACTATCCATCCTCACTGTAAACCAACACAGGAAAAAAAGAACAACCCTGAAAAACCCAATTCCACCAGTGATAGTGGAGTTGGTATAAAGGCATAGGCATTTTAGCTCAAAGCTAAAAATTATCACTACTCCACTCCACACTTTCCCCTTGGATTTGTGATGGTGTTGGCACTAGAGGTAACCTGGAAGCTAAGTCTTGAACTTCTGGATCTATTCCAGAATTAAAATTTTTTGTTTAGATTTAAACTTCACATTTTTGGCTCTCTGGGTTTCCTTTGTTTTGAGGATCTTACCTGGAATTCTAATATATAAATGATGACCAGATTTTGTTCAGCTAGTTCTATCTTTCCCTTCTGTCCTGTGGTCTCAGAGGGAGTCCTTGGAGCTCCAAACCTGTGGCTATCCAGAGGGTAAACTACTGCAATAGGAATCACAAAGCCAGTTCTCATCAGAGTAATTGTTCTATCTCTATAACCCCATTCTATTTAAGTTCTGGATAATCTAAGAAGAAAATTTTTAATAAAGATCCAAAGTTATGTATGATTTTTAGTGTCTTTTAAATATTAAATATATTCTCTAAAAGTTTGGTTGGTTCTCATTCTAAATGTCCCATTGGAGTTAATGAAAACAAACCTAGGTGAATTCTTTGTAAAACAAATGGTCCCTAATTTAGTTAAGGTGAGACACACTATTAATAGTTTTCATCTTGTGCATACTTGAATCAAAATTGTCAGAGATTACTATTAAATAATCAATATGCTTTTTCAACAAATTACTGCAGAAGGCAGGCCCAAAGTGTTGTGCGGTTGATATGCTTCCTCTCTGCCTTTTCAGATTGTTGGCCTTGACTTTATCCTGGGCAATCAGGAGCTGTGGCACATCCTGCTTGGTCTGTCCGCTGTGCCAACTGTCCTTCAGTCTCTGATGCTCTTCTTCTGTCCCGAAAGCCCCAGATACCTTTACATCAAGTTAGATGAGGAAGAAAAAGCAAAGCAAAGTAAGTCTATGTGTGAGTGTACTTTCTGTCTATTGTTTTGGAACTATCAGCTAATGAGAAACTGTGCATGAATGGTTTCTCATGAAACTGGTACCAGTGCTTTCCAAATGAGGTCAGTGATTACATATAAGAAGAATGCGCAAGATCACTTTAATATGACTTGTAATGCCATTTTGTCTACATAAACTTTCACGCAAGCCCAAATCAAAAGCTCATATGCAGAGTACTGAATTCAACCACAGGCTTCTAAAAGACCTTCCCAGCATTATGCTTCTGTGATAATGAGGATCATAGTTTTCTTTGTCATAAGATGAAGCTAAATGTTCTGCTTTTTTAAAAAATAAAACAGCAGGATTTAATTTAACAAAAAAAATTTTTCCCAACTCACACATTATTAATAGAGCTATACAGAACTGCAGTTTGTTCATTTACCTAATAAAAATAAATTTTTAAACCTGAGTTGTATAAACCTAATCATTTTGGGGGACAGGCTTGAAAAGACTCAGAGGAGGTGCTGATATCACCAAAGACATCACTGAGATGAGAAACGAAAGAGAAGAAGCAAGAAGAGAACAGAAAGTCTCCATAATTCAGCTCTTCACCAACTCCAGCTACCGACAGCCTATTCTAGTGTCATTATTGCTGCATCTGACTCAGCAGTTTTCTGGAATCAATGGGGTAAGTTTAAGAACATCTCCTAACTCTTAAGAGCAAAGTGAATTAAGATAAAGTGGGAAAAGGGTATAAGTTTAAACAGCTAAAAAACATTTTAAGATGTTGACATCACATGTTTTACTACAACGAACTGAGAAAGCATTAATTTCTGTTTTGCCTCATCTACTTTCTAAAATTAGCTTACAGTTTTTAAAAATGCCAACATTCTATGGTACTGTATGTCTATTAAAATGAAAGTAAAAAGGCAAAAGTCATAATAAATACAAAAGAGGGAAAAGGAGAGTAATTATACCAAAGAAAACTAAATTATAAGGGGCTTCTAGAGTTGAGCATCGAATGTAGGATTTACGATAGCCTAGGCATAGTTCCCTCTATCTATTTAAATGAAATATACCAGATAGCCAGGTGCAAGATGTTCTCTGCAATCCAAGAAACTTTAAGTTTATTTGGGGAGACAGCACATGCACACAAAATGAACAATAGAGTGAACTGATTTGATATTGGTGAGTGAGGATGGTAGAAAACACATTATCGAAAAACATACTAAGTATTAAACTTGCTATCTTTTAGGTTTTGAATTGAAATCTTTCATTATGCATACTAAAATTGTTTTATTGGCAATAGCTACTAATAGAAAACAAACATTCGTTAAGAAACTAGATGAAGAAAATCACTTGTCCCCTTTCATTACTGGTAAAAATGTGATTTGGGCTTCCTCTATCATGAGCCAATCCCAGATCCACAAGGAACACTTTGGGGGTGACTGATGGATGGGCAGAGATGTGGGGGAGGTAAAGAAAGTAATTCCTATGAGGCAAAGCAAAAGGAGCCCTGAACCTTACACCAAAAGCTAAATATGGCTCTGCCGTGGTCTTTGTCCTTTAAAGGGTCCTTGATGTTCATTTTTATCTAATATTCTTTATAACTTTGGGACTCAGAGACCAAACTGCTATGTCCTATCTCAGCTCTGCATGTACATCTAATGGCACAATACTTAATCTGTCTGAACCACACTGCTTTAGCTTCCATTCCAGTGTCTGCCTTAGTGGTATCCAGGAAATATTGAACTTGCAGCTGTTAGCAGCCTAAAAATGATGGAATAGTGTGCAGTATGCTGTAAGTCACTCCTCACTGAACACAGTCTGCACAGTTTTCCTGCCTCAGCCCCATCTGCAGAAAGACATGTTATGTGGGGAAAGAGAGAGAGGACAGTAGTACACAAAATGACCTAAAAGACTATTATAAAAGTAAAAACATAACTAAATAATAAAGGCTGTGAGGGAGGTTGTATACTAGATTTCTCCATCTCCACTGAGATTAGTGGAAATTTTTAGGTTAAATGTAATAGTAACAGGAATAGCAACTCTCATTCATACACACTGGTAAGAGTATAAACTGACACAACTTCTTTGGAAAGCTGTTTGGCAGTATCTATTAAAGCTGAGCATATGAATGCTCTATTGTTCAGAAGTCCTATTCCTAGGTGTAAATGCATGCACATACACTGAAAGGATTGTTCTAGAATGTTCATAGCAGCACTATTCATAATGTCCCTAAACGGCAACTACCTAAACGCCCATTAATAGTAGCATGGGTAACTAAATTGTGGTATATTAATACAATAAAGTACTATATAGTAATCATGATGACTAGTCTACAAACACATGACCTAGATTATTCTACAAAAGTAATACTGCAGCCAGATACAAAGTAATACACACTATGTGGTTTCATTTACATCAAGTATAAGATGGGGCAAAATTTACCTACGATGGTAAAAGTTAGAAGAATTTTCTTGAAAAAATAGGGTGACATTTATTTAGGGGTTTTCTGGAAGGCAGAAAATGATTTACTTCCTGATCTGGGTATTGGTTATACAGGTGTTCAGTTTGTGAAAATTAAGTGAGCTGGACATTTATGATACGTGTAATTTTTGTAAATATTTTATGTTTTAACAAAAGGTTTAAAATTTTTTTAATAAAAAAACTTCATATGCACAGTTTTCAGCTAAATATAAGGAAAACTTTTTAAGCCATCAGAAGCTTTAAACACTGAAGGAAGTTTGTGGTTTCTCCTTCCCTGAAAAGAGATGGGTAGATAAAATCTTTAGGAAGTTCTAGGAACTGTGGTTCCATAGAAACAATTAAAAATAAACAACTTAAAATATTTCTTGCTTTAAAGCCATCAGTACTAGGCTTCTTGATTAAAGCTAAACTGTTATTACTTTGCAGATCTTTTACTATTCAACCAGCATTTTTCAGACAGCTGGAGTCAGCCAACCGGTTTATGCAACCATTGGAGTTGGTGCCATCAACACAGTTTTCACTGCTATCTCTGTAAGTAAAATACCCTAAAATATTGTGCTTGTTCCTCAGTCCAGGAATAGGAGTAAAAAAAGAAAAAGAAAAAGAAAAAAAAAAAAAACAACTCTGTGATCTAAAAGTGATCAACAACTTATTGTCCACATATACTGGATATATAAAACTAAGTGGGTCATTGCAAGAGTCCTGTGTGTGAATAACCAACCCCTGTATTGAGTTAGGCATAACTGAGAAGGTTTTCTGGTTCTCTTGTTATCACTTGTTCTCTCTATTGGTACGGATGCCATTAGTCACTCATTTGTAAATTAATAATTCACATAGGGACACAGGACTTTTTCCTTGTGTAAATATATGGATTCTTTCTCCTTTGCTCTATACTTAAGCACCTTGAGATTAGCCAACAACTTGTCAGTTCTATCAATTTTGGGTCTTGTACCTAGATTCCTCCCTTTCCATGGTTGAAATTCTTTTTTTTTTATACTGATGTTTTGGGAAAATATTTTAAAAATTAATGTAGTCCTCTCAATTAGGTATCTAAGCCTCTTATAAATGCCTATGCTGTTAGGCCATCGGGCAGAGTTTCCAAGTAGCTCACAATGCCATGGCTTCTGGTCCTGCATGTGAGTGTGTGATATCATGAGAGTATGGAATAGAAGTGATGTGTAAGTTGAAAAGTTATTGTTATTTTTGAAATGTTATTCTTTTGAAATGTCAAATGTTATTTATTTTTGAAATTTTTTTCCAACAAAGGGGAAAAGGCTATATACTCTTCTTAAAACCAAATATCTTAAATAATGATTCAGTATCTTGACAATAATAATATTTAACAAAATATTCTAAGAATTAAAGTAAACAAACAACAACCAAAAAAAAAAATAAAAAAAAAAAACCCTGAAAACTTCCCAACTAATTTAACTCACTCTAAAACGAGGGTAATTGGGCTTATTTTTATCTTAGAATGAAGGATGTTCAGCTTGGGCTTTTCAATTTTGGTCACAGTGCTATACTCAATATACTTTAGTCATTTGTTTTTAATTCTCTGTACATGGACTTTTAACTATTACCTTTGATTCAATAAATTATAGCCTGGACACCTAGATCAAAAGGCAGCTTTGTCCAGACCACATTAAACAGTGTTGGACCTTGGAAAGCAGGGAAGAACAAATAACAAGGGAACACCCATGGTTTTGTAGACATGCCTTTAGAGATAATGCCAGTTTAAGCCAAAAGGCTACTCTAAATCAATGAAGGTCTGGTGCTGGGATGTAATCCAAGGGACTATTTGCATTCTTTTGTTCCCTGAGATAATATTTTTTACACATCCTACTTGAACATATTTTTCTAATATAAAGATGATGATTAAAATATTTTATCTGTAACAGGATTTGCTATGTAAAGCTTCAAGTTGTCGAGGTCGAGTAACTCAAACTCTAATAATGCCTGAATTTCACAGAATTTCATTTTTTTATTTATTATGGTGACATTGGTTAACGAAATCCAGTAAGTTTCACATGTACAATTCAACAGTGAGTCATATATACATTGCATTGTGTGTTCACTGTCCATAGTTAGATTTCTTTCTGTTACCACATGCAGAATTTCATTTTTGTCTCCCTTCTGCCGACACCTTTGAAGTGGGAGGAGTTATTTTGAAAAGTGTCTTGATTATTTTGAATAAACCTTTATAGAGTTCATCTTTTTATTCTGTGAAAATTTTTGAGCAAGCGGAATAATAAAAATAATTTCTAATCAGCTGTCTAATTACAAATAACCCTCAAGGACTACAAATAATATTTAAAATTTTTAATTATATATTTTTTTGAAAAGTTGTTTTAAAGTCAAAAAAAAGTACAAAAAAGATAGCCCCTCAGTCATCCAGTTTCTCTCCCCCAAATTAACCAATGTTATCAAATTCCATATATTCTTTCAAAAAATATATGCAAATAAGAATATGCACTTGTCACCAAACTCTAAGTAGGCTTCCAGGATCTAACTGACACACGTTGGGACATAGGTGAGAGTTTTGGTCAAGCAGATATCTCCAGCCCCTAACTAAGTCTCATCCTGTGTCACTCTCCTCCCTGAGTGCTCACCTGGCCTCCAAAAGGGAGTTCAACTTAATTTTCAAGGCATGTAGGTTTAGAGTTTATTATCCTATTAGTAATAATTGTTTGAGGCAGAAGAAACAGACATGGTAAAAGCTCTTATTCCTGAAGAAATGCTTTTATTTTCTTGGTCGCTTGACGTGATGTCATCAAGTCAGCTTTGAAAGTCATAATCAAAGAGTCAAAATATAGAGAGAAATTTTATGAACTTGAGAAAGCTTTGTTTTTCGCACTTCCTTCTCAGTAATTAAATGCAAGCTCTTAGCTTATCATCCTGAAGTGATTTGAAATTCTCATACGAAATGCCTCTGAGATGAAAGGGGCTTTCACTGCAGGGGAAAAGAAATATTTCTCAGATATTTTCAGAGCCAGAGCTCACTATTCTAAAGATACTGGATTGCTATTGGTTTACTGATAGATTTATGAGCCTAGTCAATTTACTCACCAAAGTGAGAAATTATGACAGGTAGTTTTTTGTTTGCGATTCACTAACCTTGGCAGTATTCCAAGGATCAAGCAAGACTCTATTCAATAACTCTGGCCTTGGCTAATTGTAAATTTTAACCATTAATGTGAAGGTACCCAGACCAAAGGGAATCAATAACATATCTCTTGGCTTAGAATAAGAAAGCACTTTAACCTTTTGCTTTGAGTCTTACCTTCTCAAATGGATAGTTCATTCCCAGCAACAGGTACATTTAGGTACACCGGAAAAATGAAGACTTGTCTATTTTGGTAAAATGATCAAATTTCATATGTTGCCACATGAGCAGTCACAATATGATTTCATTAGCAGTATACAGACCCTTGTGATTATAACTTAGGATAAATACCAAGAAAGGAATTAATGTCATTTTTAGTGTGGAAACTTCATATTTTAAACATACAGGAGATCAACCGGAAGGGATCCAAGATGTATAGCCTCTTAATATTGTATCCAAAGGGATAATCATAGAGAGGTGGTAACACTCCTGTTCTTTCTCTAGAATGCCCTGTTCAAATCAATGTGACTAAATAAAGCAGGTATTCGTTGATGGCCTCTGGTCACTGAGACCAGCTCTGCCACCTCGGGTAAGAGTCACACCCTCCCCAGTTCCACATCTGTAAAATGGAATAATAGAACTGCCTCTTTCCTTTGTATAAATTTAAATGACCTCTTTGTCAGTAAAGACTATATAAGTATAAAGCCTATATATTTTAAAACTTTCCTAGGTATTCCTTGTGGAGAAGGCAGGGCGACGCTCTCTGTTTCTAATCGGAATGAGTGGGATGATTTTCTGTGCCATCTTCATGTCCGTGGGACTTGTGCTACTGGTGAGTTTGGTGCCCGCACTGAGATTTCTGGTTACCATATGACAGCACTTCTGTGCTCCACGTTAAAGTGTTTTGTATGTCAAAAACATTTGAGAATTTCTTATGAAATAAAGCCAGAGGAACAACATATAATACCAGGGAGAAATGTAAAGAAAAAGAGAACAAGGGTTTAAACTTTGGGTTTAAAGACTGAATATCAGCAAGTAAATTGTACGTATTACCCAGGCAGGCAGTGTAGCAAAATGGTCAGAGCATAAACTCTGAGGTCAGCCTCAGTGCTGGCTCCGCTACTTGGCTGTTGCGTGACCTTGAGCAAGTGTCTAGACCTCTCTAGCCCAGCACCCTTAACCACTACTTCGCGTGCATCCTGTCTAGCGACCTAGTATTAATAAGAACAAAAGTCGCTGGATCCCTACCTTGCATTTTTCACAGGAAAAGAGTGACTAAGAGTCATATAAAATTCTAACCTAGAGGATTTCCTATAACGGAACTCAAGAGATTTAAGGATGACTCAGACTAGAATAAACTTGTCTCCAACTAGAATAACTTGTACTTAATTGAACATAAACGCTTCAGGAAAAGAGCCATGTCACTGCTAAATTCAATGAGAGTCTACTTAGCTAAAGGAAGAAGCAGCCAATGACCCTAGTCCTATTTTTTGTTTTTTCCTCAGAATAAATTATCTTGGATGAGTTACGTGAGCATGATAGCCGTCTTCCTCTTTGTCAGCTTCTTTGAAATCGGGCCAGGTCCCATTCCCTGGTTCATGGTGGCTGAATTTTTCAGTCAAGGATCGCGTTCTGCTGCTATGGCAGTAGCTGCATTCACCAACTGGACCTGCAATTTCCTTATAGCTCTGTGTTTCCCATACATTGCGGTAAGCAGCCTAACATTGTGCAGATTTATTGAATTGAAGATAGGGTTGGACAGCTGCTAATTGAGACTCTGTATTTGGTCTCTCTGCAGGACTTTTGTGGACCTTATGTGTTTTTCATCTTTGCTGGAGCAATGTTTGTCTTTACGCTGTTCACATTTTTCAAAGTTCCAGAAACCAAAGGAAAGTCCTTTGAGGAAATCGCGGCAGAATTTCGAAAGAAGAGTGGTTCAGCCCAAGCACCAAAAGCTGCTACAGAAATGAAATTCCTTAGAGCTACAGAGACTGTGTAAAGATAACCTGCTTTTTGACATGAAGAAAAAGGAAGGAAGCCATGTGTTTTTAAATGACGATTCTTTGAGAATTTTATGTCTATGTCTTAAAGTATTTTTTTATTTTTTAAAGAGCTTTTATGGGCCCTGATCGGAAATGTCATCAAATTTTACCAAAGAGAGTATTTTTTCTTAAGTTACAGAATCTATTTTTGATGCTAAGACTCTGTAATTAAGTAAACCAAAAAGTCTAGCTCCTTTCACTACACTAAATGACAAGGACATTCTAATATTCCTAGTTCTACTCTTTAAATAATATTCTCTTGAAATCAAAGTGGTTTCAAGGTATCATATTATTGCTTCCTTAAGCACCTGGTTAGAAACCTGAAGGTACTACTAATATTTACATATTTGAATATGATCCCACTCAGTTTTTATCTTATGCATTAGAATTTGCATTTTGCTTAAATTTTTATTTTTATTTTTTTTTTTTTGTATTTTTTGTGTGGAATGGTTTTTTGTGTATATTAAAATATGTTTATAAAGAAAAACTTATTTTTAGTAGGCATACCAAAATCTTTGAGTACTCAGGGAAAAAAATTTAATTCCTTTAGTGACCAAATGGTTTTTATAAGATTATACTCTAAAAAGGTTTTACCTGGTCATTTAGCATGAGTTATCAGTTAATATTAACATCTATTATAAACCCATGTCAGATCTCTTGTTGGTTCAATCCTTTGAGCTATGTTTTGTTTTGCTTTTTAATCGATCACAGACTGGTTTTCAAGCTGTGTTATAAAATATACTCAGTGATAAGGAGGGCATTTTGTATATCTCCTCAAATCTCCAATAAGTTGAAGCCGCCTAACTTAAGGAATTTGAAGTAAAAGATTGCTGTTTGTTTAAAAAAAAAAAGCATTTTCTGAATGTTGGGTCCCCAAAAAATCATGTATGTTAAAGTTCAGACTAGATCAAAAATCCCTATTTAATTTTCCTGAAAATACTGAGTTCCCTAACACAAAACAATCACCCCCTTTGATGTCTCCCTTTTTGTCTTTGCAGTATGAGGATGCTGGCTAAGCTATTCTCCTGCTATTGCTAACATTTATTGTGCCAGTGATGTGTCAGGCACTGTTCTAAGTGCTTCTACCCATGTAGGCAAATTGGAAATACACAGATGATTAAACAAACTTTTGCTTACAGTCAGTTTTGCAACTATGGACATACAGTTCTAATGAATACCAAAGACTTAGCAGGGAGCTAGAGTATCTCTAGGTTGTTTTTGTCACAAAGTGGAATACTGAATCAATCCTTTTTATGTTTGCTTTAATGTGCATAAAAACACTCAACATTTGCTTTTTTTTTTTTCTGTCAAAGTTGTTTACTTTTATGTAATTTAACAGTACAAACAACATGAAAATTTTTCTTTCATTTTCACCATTTTGTTTTTCCTTTGGGCCAATTTGGAATAAACTTTTCATTTAGGACTTCTGGACACAGTCAAAGTGAGCTTAAATAGTTTAGGAGAACTTTGTGCTAAACTGTGAACTCTGAAAAAAAGAATGTAGGGACTCTGACTAGGACACCAGCAGGAAAATTGCTCTTGTTTGGCTCTTGTCTTCTTCAGGATGCTGGCCTTTGATAAGCTCAAAGTTGCAATAATAAAAATGTTAAATTTCTTTATAGGCAATGAATGTGATTTAATCAAATCACTACTCCTGATCTCATTTACTAAGAGAATAAAGTAGTAAAGGTTTAATTTAAAAAAAAACAAAAACAAAAGACCACTTTTAACTTCTAATTAGTTATTTTGACTCATCCACAAATACCAGAAATTCAGACCCTGAAGTTTTCTGCCTCTGAGAAATTTAAGTAACTCACATTGTTTCCCTTCCATAATTTTTTCCTTGCAGAGATACAAGTGAATTGAAAAAAAAAAAAAAAAAAAACAAAGAAAAGAACAA